GGGACATCTACATCAGCACTGTGGCTGGGCCGCCTCGGGGCCGCTGTGCTGCCTGCCAGGATGCCAGTCGTGCCCACCCAGGTGAGGCCTTAGAGGGAGTCGTGGCCCTAGAGTGGACATGGTCCACTGCCAGGTCATAAGCGAGCTGTTGTGTGTCTTGCTGCAGGGGACCCGAGCGCACAGTGCCTGCAGCACGGCTTCATGTTACACACCAAGTACCAGGTGGTGTACCCCTTCCCCACCTTCCAGCCCGCCTTCCAGCTCAAGAAGGACCAGGTGGTGCTGCTCAACACCAGCTACTCTCTGGTGGCCTGTGCTGTCTCCGTCCACTCGGCAGGTAGGCCAGGCCAGGGAGTCCCATTTCTATTCAGAGCTCAGACCAGGCAGCCTGGCTGAGGGGTCAGATCTCTCATGGTTTAGCTGGAGGTGGGAAGGCTGGGCTGGCATGTCCAGTGAGTGCCTTAGAGCTACGTGGCATCAACTCAGGAGCTGCTTTAGCCATAGTGGGGCTAAGGGGCTTACCCTGGGCAGGAAGAGCTGGGGCTGCTCCGTATAGTGACCTACTGAGCACATGCAGGACTGTTTCCTGCCCAGCGTGACAAAAAAAGAGGACGAGGTCATGAAGTACAGGTAATAGGCTCCAAGGTCAGTGACATGTCCTAAGCAGTGCATCTGTGTGTGAAAATGAGAAACCATGTCCATATGGCATTGTTGGAGAGACAGTGGGCAGTGCCGGGACCCCTCTGTTGATGGAGTGACAGTGGGCAGTGCTGGGACCCCTCTGTTGATGGAGTGACAGTGGGCAGTGCCAGGACCCCTCTGTTGATGGAGTGACAGTGGGCAGTGCTGGGACCCCTCTGTTGATGGAGTGACAGTGGGCAGTGCCAGGACCCCTCTGTTGATGGAGAGACAGTGGGCAGTGCTGGGACCCCTCTGTTGATGGAGTGACAGTGGGCAGTGCCAGGACCCCTCTGTTGATGGAGTGACAGTGGGCAGTGCCAGGACCCCTCTGTTGATGGAGTGACAGTGGGCAGTGCCGGGACCCCTCTGTTGATGGAGTGACAGTGGGCAGTGCCGGGACCCCTCTGTTGATGGAGAGACAGTGGGCAGTGCTGGGACCCCTCTGTTGATGGAGTGACAGTGGGCAGTGCCAGGACCCCTCTGTTGATGGAGTGACAGTGGGCAGTGCCAGGACCCCTCTGTTGATGGAGTGACAGTGGGCAGTGCCGGGATCTTTCCATAGTCAGTGTCACCCTGCCAACATTAGAACACAGTTAGTACATACTTGGCTGTCATGTATCCTTTGTGTCAGGGAATACTAGCAACAGATTTCATGGTATCTCCTTTAACAATGTCTATGAAGCCCTAGCTAGCCTAGAACTCACAGGCCTCTGCCTCCTGAGTGCTAGAATTAAAGGTGTACATCACCATACCTGGCTTTCATGGTATATTTTTAGTTTTACTTTTTAAATTACATTTTATTTTGTATTCCTTTTTGTATATTTTGTATGTTTATCGTGCATGCATGTGTTCATGTGTATGTACCAGGGAAGTCAGGGTAACTTTCAGAAGTTCATCCTATCATGTAGATTGCAGGAATTTTGAACTCGGGTCCAAACATCTAGTGGCAAGCACTTTTACCTGCTAAGCCATTTCTCTGTGTCTTGATAGAGTGGCATGTTAGGCAGTAGGGTCATGCCAGTGTCTGGCAGGAAGAGAGTGAGTCTGAGCCTGTAGCTCTGCCCTGCTGGGTCCCTTCTCACAAAGCCAGCAGTCTAGAGCTGCGAGGGCAGGTCCGTAGCAGATTGTCAGGGGCCTCCTGGTGCTCCTTCCTGAGGTAGAAGAGGACTGTCCTGTGGAACAGCAGAGAAAGGCCATGACATACATGTTAAACTGGACAGAGACACAGAAAAGAGAGCTATAGCTGTATACTACTTTAGGGATAACTAATAACATGTTTTGATTTGGAGAGAACTCAAGGCTAGTCCCATTAAAGTGGCTGCGGCTGCCCTGGGGCAGGGGAAGGAAGAGGCAGGGTCAAGTTCATGTGACCAAGCTGACCAGCAAAGGGCGGGAACTTAGTCCTCAGACTCAGTTCTCCCCAGCCCTCCCTGGACACCTGTGTCACTATGGAAGAAGCTATCTAAGCTTTACTAAGGCTGTGCCACCTGTTGACCATGAGCCTTGCACACGAGGCCCAAGCAAGGACTGAGGAGTCTTGGCTTGGGGACCTATATTGGCTTTGTCCCTAGCCTGGTGTCCAGCTTATCACAGAAGTTTATGCTAAGCAGTTTTCAACTTAACCTCTCTCCTGGGTGTCCACCATGGTCCCTTGGACAAAACCTCTCTGAGGGGTGGAGTGTTGCTTTATAGGGAGGGGTGTGGCACTCCTTGTTGGCGTGTTAGGTTCCTCTGCTGAATCCTACTTCCTCCAGTCAGTGTGGCCGTCTGCTTGTGCTGGTCTAGTCCAGTTATGAGAACTCAGCTCTTACCTGTTCTCACTGCAGACCGCACTCCAAGGGCAAAGCTTTGTGCATCTCACTTGCTGTGTCCTTTCTGAGTAGCTGAGGTCTGAGTACTACCCTGGATGAGAAAGGCCCTGTGTTCTGCTCCCAGCATACTTTTTAATCTTGAATGAATGCATGTTTAAATAGGTTTGGTCTTTGTGTTCAGACTATATGTGCTTTCTAAACTTCGAAGGGCTTCAGCCTGACTTGAGCACAGAAATGGCTCCTGTGGGGGTTCCTTTAGGTGGGTTTCTAATCCAGGCTTTGAACTGTGGTGACATAGCCCACTTTTGTGCTTTTTTGCAGGTGACAGCAGTTTCTGCCAAATCCTGTATGACCACACAGCTTTGCCCCCAGCTCCACCCAGCTCTCCAGGACCTTGGAGCCCTGAGACAGTCCCTGCCTTCCCCAGCCTTGGTGTTGAGGTGGTCCCAGCCCAGCCTTCTGGAGCCCCTGAGCCCTCACCAGCCATTGCCAAGGCCAAGGAGTTTGTGGCTGACATCTTTCGCAGGGCCAAAGAGGCCAAGGGCAGTAGCCCCTTGGAGGAAGCTCGGCTGCCCTCTGGCTTGGGGCCCTCAAACAGCCGCTGCCGCCCATCTTTAGAGCCACAAGCCCCAAGTAGGGACATGGTACCCAGGGACAGCCCTCCTGCTGCAGAGACCACTGTTCCTGAGCCTGGCTACGTCAATTACACCAAGCTGCACTATGTGTTGCAGTCTGGGGAAGGGACAGAGGCAGAGGATGGTGAGGGTTCTTCCTGGGACAGGATCTGGGATGGGGCAGTCCCAAGAGGACCACTGGCCTGCTCCTACCTTCTGCCTGCCTCCCCAGAGTTTGAGGATGACAAGATCTCCCTGCCCTTTGTGGTGACTGATCTCCGTGGCCGCAACTTACGGCCCATGCGAGAGCGGACAGACATGCAGGTGGGTAGCCATTATGCAAGCCGTAGGCAACCCGGATCTGGGGTGGGTTGGTGCTACCCCTGGCTCTCTGTCGTCTATCCCCAGGGCCAGTACCTGACAGTGGAGCAGCTCACCCTGGACTTTGAGTATGTCATCAACGAGGTCATCCGCCATGATGCCACCTGGGGTCACCAGTTCTGCTCTTTCAGTGACTATGATATAGTCATCTTGGAGGTGAGGCGGGGCACAGCAGGAGGCAGGAGTGTTCCTACTCGAGGATCTCTGTAACTGTTACTTCCTGCTCGCAGGTCTGCCCAGAAACCAACCAGGTCCTGATCAACATTGGGTTGCTGCTCCTGGCCTTCCCAGCTCCTACCGAAGAGGGCCAGCTTCGGTGAGTGGCAGGGCCCTTGGCTAACCCTTATGTGGACCACACAGACCCTTCTGTGCAGGATGTACACAGTGACCAGACAGAACCTGGAGGGCCTGTGCTGTCACTGGGGCAGTGAGAGCCAGTGCCAGGGACTCACCAGCCCACCCTCTTGTCCTCCACCATCACAGACCCAAGACCTATCACACCAGTCTCAAGGTGGCCTGGGACCTCAACACGGGCATCTTTGAGACAGTCAGCGTGGGCGATCTAACTGAGGTCAAAGGACAGACCAGGTGAGGCAAGGCAAGAGTGAGTTGTCAGGGAGCCCTGGTAGTTGGCAGGAAAGTTCCTCTTCACTCATTTCCCTGGTCCCCAGTGGCAGTGTCTGGAGCTCCTACCGGAAGAGTTGTGTGGACATGGTCATGAAGTGGCTGGTGCCAGAGAGCAGTGGCCGCTATGTGAACAGAATGACCAACGAGGCACTGCACAAAGGTAGGAAGTGCCCAAGCCAGGCAGGACGCCTGATCTTACCCTGGATCCCTGGCATGCTGGATGTAAGGAGTGGCATCCAGCTATGGCTGGAGAAGCGGGTGGGGAATCACTGGGGAACTGTCTCTGGAACCTTTTGGGTCTTGTTAGGCCAGGAGTTAGCTACAGTACTGGACAAGTGGGTCATGGGTCTGCGTCATATCCTCCTCTGCAGGGTGCTCACTGAAGGTCCTGGCAGACAGTGAGCGCTACACTTGGATCGTGCTGTGAGGGCTGGACTGCTCTGGACCCTGACTCCAACTACCTCCATGGCCCGCAGAGGACCGCCTTCCTGGGCTGGCCCTACGAGGGCCACAACCGGCACTAGTGTTAGGTTGCAGGATGGGACTGGTGCAGCAGCCTCTGGTGGCCCGAGAGTCTGGATGTGTCTTTATTTATGCCTATTTAAGTTGGGAAAGGGCAGAGAGAGGAGCCCCTTAGGCCTGGCCTGCCCTGGTGAAGCCCAGTCCTGCTTCCTGTGCTCTGGCCCTTCTCCTGGGCGGAAGTGTAGCCCTGTAGGGAGGCTAATGGTTCTAGCCTCTCTCACCTAGGGTGGGAACCCCGTGGCCGCCTTGCCTTGTCCTTCATGTACTAAACGCTTTATTTCTGACCTGGCTGGTGTCTTTCTGTCCTCAGCACACCACTCCCCACACACACTCCCCACCTAACCCTGTCCTCGTCAGCAGTAGACAAAGATCACAGCAGTATTTATTGTTTTAAGAAAGACTACAAAAAGGTAGAAAACAGCACACTAAACTACCACGCGCGTGGATACTTCGACCACTGGGAAGGGAGGCCCATGGGGAGTGTGCAGGACCACCCCAAAAGCTGTAGCACGCGGAGCACACAAAATAGTGATTTCTATACAATAGGCCAGATTTTCTTTTTCTCCATAAACATCTATCACAGATTGAAGACACTGAGAAAACAGGAACGGATAAGGCCATGATGGTTGGAAAAAACCAACAAGTTACTGTCGCCGCTCAAGCGGCACTCACTAGTCACACAATAGTTACGGGGGCGGGGCGGGGCGGGGCACTGCACGGAGGAGAAGCATCTCTGGGAGCAGGTTTCCGTCACAAGCTGATGGGGTGGAAGGCGCAGGGCGAGGAGGCCTTGGGTCTGGAGCACCTGGCCCTACAGCCAGCCGGATGCTCCTCTTTGGAAGCTGGAGGCCGGGGCCCTTCGCAATATGCCCCTCTCTGGGCTGCGGGGCCAGGAGAACCCAGCTCTGGAGAAGGTGCAACACCCACAGCTTTAATTGCACTTATACCAAGAAAGGGGAGCAGTGGGGTACTGCTGCTGACAGTGGGGGTCCCAAGGTGCTACCCACCTGCGCCTGCCCAGGCAGGCTGTGCAAAGCCAGAGAGCAGAATAAGTTAACAGTTCCGCAGGGGAGGAGCTGGCCTGCTGCCCTCTGGGTCAGTAGTGGTGGGGGGGGGGACAGGGCTGTGAGCTGGGGCAGGAAAGAGGGACACCTAGGCAGGTTCCTTAAGGCACGTCTTTTGTGTCAGGGTTTGCAGCTTCGGTTCTGCCCAGCCCCGCCCATGATTGTACCAGCCCCATGAGGGGAGACTCTCCTAGCCTTCCCTGTCAGGGGACCCTCTCCAGCTCTGCCATGTGCTGGAAGGGTGACAGTGAAGCCACAAAAACAGGACTGGACCCTGGCCTGGAGGGGCAGCAGCGGCAGGTTGGGCGGGTGGAGGGGTGCAGGGAGGTCTCAGGCTTAACTGGAGGGCAGGGCCTGCACAAAGAGGCCACGAGTGTCAGTCCTCGCCAGTTTCGCTGGTGGCTCCAGAGCTTCTGGACCTAGTGCGGGAGATTCGCTGCCAGCTGCCAGCGAGATGTCTTGTGGCAGCTCATCTTCACTCTCCTCTTCCTCCTCTTCTTCCTCATCTGGGGCAGAGGAACCAGACTCAGCTCAGCGACAGACTGAAATTTCCAGGGACACTTGGCCTCCCCCATCATCTGCCCCAACCCTGGAACCCAGATTAGGTGGGGACATGCATTGCTACCTTTGTCAGGGTCCAAGGGATTGAGTGAGGTGGCCAGGTTTGCAAACTGGAAGAAGAAAAAGGAAAAAGTCAGGGTTCCACTCCCTGGTAACTGCCCGTGTCCCTAGGACCTCACCATGCACACCTCTCCCATGACCGCGATTGGGGTCTCGCCCTTGGCCTGGGCCACTCTGTGCTCGATCAGGTAGTACATGTACTCGTCATAGAGCAGGCGGATGAGGTGGAAGGAGCCGAAGCTGGCAGCACTGCGCAGGGTCAGGTCTCGGATTACCATGGAGCTGGGGGCAGTGATCAAGAGATTGTCAAGATGGCGGAGCTGTTCACCCTACTCCGCTGCTCACAGGCGTGCTGGGTCCTTGCTGTTTTCCCCAGTGTCTCCTGTGAGGTAGCAGGCTTTCCCTAGCCCCACCCACTACTTCTCGCAGGTGCACCTTTGAAGGAAGGTCTTCTCTAACACACACTGGGATGTCCCTGGTCTCATCCCTCCCAGCCACACCCCGGGATGCACGGGCGGGCGCGTACCTGTAGAAGGACCACTTGAGGAGGAAGAGCTTGGCTGCCTTGGGGAAGCCGGAACTGCCCTGGTAGGGCTTGAGCACCTGGCTCACGACGCCATCCAGCCAGGCTGCCCATTGCTCCAGTGAGTTCTGCTGCTGCAGCGTCACCTTGAAGTCCTGCTCCAAACGCTGCACCACACGGTCCTCGCAGCGACACACCCATGAGGCCTGCTCCTGGGGCGCAGCAGGCAGCCGCTCAGCCGTCTCTCCCATCGCTCCCTCCTGTCCCAGACCCAATGGTGCTCACCTGGACATTGGCAAAGTCCACGCGATTGAGGTCGCTTAGCATCTGGTTGATCTGCGCAGTGTTCTGCAGCACTGCCCGCGCCGCCTGTGCCAAGTGGTTGAGCGATGTGTAGCGCCGCAGCGTCTGTGCGAAGGCGCCAGCTGCTGCCACCTGCATGGGAGACAGCAGGCTAGAGGCTTCCACACAAACCCCACCCAGCCCACCCACACCTGATGGGCGTGCCTTACTGCTTCTGTTTGGGGACCAAGAGCGGACCTCCAATACTGGTATGGGTCAAATATTCAACTTAACTATGTTGGCATGCTGACCTGTAATCCACCCACCCACCCACACACCCAACTATCCATCCATCCATCCATTTTGGTTTTTCGAGACAGGGTTTTTCTGTGTAGCCTGGCCGTCCTGGACCGGGGTAACTTTGAACTCTACCTGCCTTTGCCTGCAGAGTGCTGGGATTAGAGGTGTGGGCCACCACCAACTGCTATTTTTCTATTTATTTTGGGCATTTGGGGGGTTTGTTGTTGCCTTTTGAGACACTTTCTCTCTGTAATAGCCTTGGCTGTCTTGGCACTCACTCTGTAGACCAGGCTTAAACTCACAAAGATACGCCTGCCTCTGCCTCTGAGTGCTGGGATTCAGGCATGCAGCACCACACCCTGCTTATTTTGTGCATTTGTGTGACAGCCCACTCTCAAAAGTTAGAGGACAACTTGTGGTAGTGAGTTCTCTCCATCCATCATGTGGGTCCCAGGATCAAATCCAGGTCACTTGCATGGAGGCAAGTACTTTTATGCACTGAGCCATCTCCCTTGGCTCTGACTTGCCCTTTTCTTTAACCACGCGTGTGATGGTGACCAAATTCAGCCCCACAGTCATCCTAAGGCAGCATTCACCCCTGAGCACACTCCCTGCCCCTAGCCCCCAATTACTGGGGTGTTTTGTTTTTTTTTCCCCTTTTTGTCTTGCTATGAAGCCCAGACTAGGCTCAGCCCTTAGGTGGTCCTCATTCTTTGTGCCAGGATTGTAGATATGGATCTTCATGCCCAACTCAGGCCATTTCAATGAAAGACACAACAAAGCCCTGCCCTCCAGTGCTGAGGTGGGACCCAAGGCCCTGCACAAACCAGATTAAGCGTGCACCACTGGGCTCTCTAGGCAGTTAAGAGTAAATTACTCTTCAATCAGAGCAGCCTCAGACACAGGCTCGCCAGGCGGGGTGGCCACACCTTTAATCCCAGCACTCCGGAGGCAGGGGCAGGTGAGTCTGATGGTCTAAGAAGAAGAGTTCTAGGCCAACTAGGACTATGTAGTAAGGTTGTGTCTTAAATAAGTAAATAAATGATAGATAGATAGATAGATAGATAGATAGATGTCTTAAGCACTAAAACCTTGGAGCCTGTCAGATGTGGGTCCCAGGGTATATACAGCATAGAACGCCTGAAGCAAGCCCTGAGGCCCTTGAAGGGGAAGTCTTCACAGGCACACAGCAGACAGATGTGGCCAGTCCACTCACCTTCGCCCGCAGCATCTCCTCGGGGATGTTCACCATGGCATGGGTGAGCCAGCTCTCCAGGCTCTTGGCAAAGTTCCGGATTGCTTGGGTCAAGGCACCTGTAGAAGATGGAGTGCTGGTCAGGGTAAGTGGGGGAGGAAGTCCTCCAGGGAGGGGGCTGCCACCAGCACTCACTGGGGATGGGCCGCAGGACATCAGGGATGAGAATCTCCACCAGGCCCTGGTACAGCACATTGTCACAGTGCTTGGTCCACTGAAGCACAGGCTGGAACTTGGAGAGGAGCACCAGACTGGCCCTGGGCAGCCGCTTCTCTGCCTCATCGTGCCTGTAGGAACCCACCCAACCCCCAGTCAAGGGCATGTGTAATCCCCACATGCAGGGGTCACCTCTGTCCAAACCCTGGGGACTCACACGGCCAGTGGTGGTGCCTCATTAGGCTGGCTAAGATTGTATCTCCAGAAGGTCTTCCACAGTGTTTCTACCAGTGTGAACTGGAGATTTACCATGACGTCCACGATGGCCTGCAGGGTCAGGAATTTGCAATGAGAAATGGCAAAGGGCCAGCATGGGGCTTCGGCCGGTCTGCACTCAAGGCTAGTCCATTTGGTCTCTCAGTCACTTGACAGCCCTACCTCACAGTGCTCCCGGTACAGGACCTGGAAGGCCTTGATGTCCCCAGGACCGACACCCTCAGGCAGCACTTTGCCCTGGAGGTCCAGCTCGGCAAAATCAGGGAGGCTCCTGGAGGCATCTAGGAGTAAGGGCACCGTGAGGACCTGTGTCCGCCTGCCTGCCTCTCTCTTGCTTCCTCTGGGGTTCTGGTCACCTATCACTTTTCCAACATGTGTCGATCCCATGCATGGAGTGACATGGAGTGAATGGCTAGGCTCATGCAGGCTTAGCTACTGGCTTGGGGTCTCATGGCACCCTGCACAGATCACACGAGATGCTTTGGCCAGCCTTGGCCAGCTGAGGATTGCTGGTTCTTGTTGATCCTTAGTCACTTGGTACAGGCAGCATCCCTGCTGAGAGAGTAGTGCCCAAAGGCCCTACTTCTAGGCCACCAGGGCCACACAACGCTGGCATCATCTCCCACCTTTCACTTCCCAGCCACAGTGGCGCTCATCACCCAATCAGGCTGTCCTTCGAAGCTGTCAGTGGCACCATCAGGCCTTGACTTCCCTGTTTTCCGTCTTTAGCGTATGTAGAAACTGTACACGTACCGTGGGTACACACTCGTGGGTACACACTTGCCCTCAGTTACTAATCCTAGTCATAGAGACAGAGTTTCATGCCAGCAAGGATGGTGCCACCTTCATGTTAATAAGCCACCACTGTCTGACCAGCTACAGCACTGCCTGTTGGTGTGGGACTCAGCATCATCAGCTCCCTGGGGGACACAGAAACACTGACTATGGAAAGGAATGGGCGGTATGCAGCCTGAGAGCTCAGCACTGTGGAGGCTGAGGCAGAAGGGTCATGAATTCCAAGTCAACTTTGAACATACAGTGAGACCAAGTCACCAAGTATGGGATAGGCCAGCATGGTGGCACACGCCTTTAATCCCAGTTCTTAGGGAGCAGAGGCAAGTAGAGCTCTGTGAGTTGTAGGCCAGCCTGGTCTACACAGTGAGTTCCAGATTAGCCAGGGCTATATACAGTGAAGCCCTGTCTGAAAAAAACCCAAAAAAAAAAAAAAAAAAACCCAACCCCCCAAAATGGGGTTGGGAGTTCTTGGGAGGTTTCTGGGGCCAGAACAATTCCATAAGGACAGAAGCCAGCAAGCCTGAATATCCACCAGACTCCCCCATGGGCCCTCCTGAGTCCCCTGGGGCAGGCTGCCCTGCCCTGCCCTGCCCAGCGGCTCTCACCCAGGAACTGCTGGTACTGCTGCACCTGGGCGCTGATGTCTGACAGCCCTGTGCTCTGCTGCCCCACGGCAACACCGTTGGCCACGCCCTCCATCTTCGGGATGGGCTTGAGCCTGGAGGGGAAGGGGTAGTGGGGTGCTGGTGGGGAAATGGGCCAGCTGTGTGAGGGAAAACAAGCCACCTGGGGGGGGGGGGGTAAACCCGCGGGGGGGGGGGTTGGGTTTTGGGGGGGGGGGGGGGGGGGGGGGGGGGTAGCAGGTGAGGACTGATGGAGGGGTGGCTGAGGAGGTGATGAAGGGATGAGCCATCTGGTCGGGTTGGGCAGGCTGATGAACGTCCTCTAGGGCACGGTCAAGTGGTATGGTACAGCCAACTTCGCAGTCCCTGCTCAGCTCCAGAGCAGGAGCCCTACCTCTGTTTCTGGGAGAAGGGCTGGCCTCGCATGGCCATGTGCTGCTGGTCCTCCATCAGCCGCAGCAGGGGTGAGCTGGCTTTGATCCGCAGGCCATAATAGTGGTACTTAGAGTTGCCCCTGGGAAGAAGGTGGGGTGAAGTGCTTTACCAGCAGGGCAGGCAGGACACTGCGTCTCATGCTTTCCTCTCATTTAGGGGCCTGGACAGAGAAAGCTTCCCAGTTGAGCTGAAGAACATGGCATTATGTGTCAGGAGTGAGGACATGGCAGTATGAGTCACTGCGCAAGCAATAGCAGCTCTGACACCCGGCAAGCACTTGGCCGACATTAGGCTATTGGTCATCGGGGCACGTGAGGGGCTTACACTACTAAGCATGTAGCCCCGCTTTGCTTTGTCACTAGCCCATGAAGGGTGCTCCTGACAGCCTGGACAGACATGAGAAACAGACACGGAGATTAAGTCCATGACCTATGGGTAACATGAATGAACAAATGAGTGCACGCATGCAACGATGCTGAGCAACTCTCTGCAAGAGATGAGCAGGAACCAAGAGATGGCTGGTAAGATGGGGTAAAGTCCAGGAACGGGACGATAGGCCGAGCAAAGTCGCCAGAGTAGCCACAAGCAGGCCTGAACAAGGGGTAAGACCAGTCCTTGCCCTGTGGTTCAAGACTACTTGGAGTTGAGGTGGGTCATGTGGGCAGAGTGATCGCCCTCCGGGCCAAGGGCAGATGAGGGGGCGGGGGCAGGACAAACCTGGTGCCCAGCCGGCGCGTGCGCAGACCCATGAATACCGAGCGGATGAGCTTGCCGAAGGAGGCGGCATTCACCGGCTCCAGCTTCTGCTCTTGGCAGTGCAGCAGGTAGTGGCAGTAGAGGGTGCTCCGAGGCAGGCTCACGCCCTCAGCGGTCTCGTAATTATCCAGGAGCCACTGGACCTGGAGCACACGAGAGGGCTGGGTAGTGCTGACAGTCTGTGTGGCAGCGTTTTCTGCAACTGCTTTCCACAGTGGTTCTGAAAGCCAGCGGTAAGTCACATATCCTGTTACAGTATTCCTGGGAACTACAGTCTTTCGAAGTTTCTAGAACAGCACAGACCAATAGATACACTTGCTACTAGCCACCTGCAGCTTTTAAAAGACAAAGTTGTTAATACATGAGGGATAAAAATTTAGTCTCCCAAGGTCACAGAATAAGCGTCCATCTGTAGAACATTCTAGAAGCATGCAATGGAACGCATTGTAGATGGAAAGCAAATTTATGTTCCTGAAGGGGTTCAGGATGTTGAAAGTGAGGTAGAAGAGAGTGAAAATATACCTAAACTTCCAACACAGGGGAAACTGAGGCAGAAGAACCACGAGTTCAGGACCATCCTGGACTACAAAGGGAGATTCTGTCTCAAAAACAATAGACAGAAGCTATCCCTGGTCCCAAACTGAGATTTCTGTTAGGGAAGTGGGACTAAGTGAGGAGCCCAGTGAGGGGTGTATGGGCATTTGTCACTACCTCTTTATTGTCACTGCTTTTGTTCATGTGAGTGGACACATGGGCACGGGTGTGGGGGCCAAAGGTCGACAGCTGATGTTTTCCTTGGCTGCTTTGCACTTGTTGTGTAACTCAGTTGCTTGTTTTTGTTTATTAATTTCAGTTTATGTGTGTGTGTTTTGCCTACATGTATGTGTGTACCCCATACATGTCCTATCCCCTCAGGGGCCAGAAGGTGTCAGATTTCCTAGGATCTGGAGTTACAGACAGTGTGAGGTGCCATGTGGGCACTGGGACTTGAACCTGGGTCCTCTGGAAGCCACTCCTAACCACCGAGCCATCTCTCCTGCTCCACTACACCTCACCTTGGAATTTTTTAGGACAGCATCTCTCACTGGACCTGGAGCTGACAGGCTAGCTCTAGGTCAACCCCAGGTTCCGCTCCATCTCTGCTCCTAGTGTTGGGTTTACAGGCTTGTGACATGTGGGGTCCAAACTCAGAACCTCTTGCTCTCGAAGCAGACACTCGGTTACCGAGCCAGTTCTAGATCCTTTCTGTTCATTGTTCTCACTACATCCATTTACTTGTTTTATGTGGAGAGTGTATCCATGTGAAAGTCAGAGGAGCTGGTTCTTTCCTACCATGTGGCTTTCAGGGATTAAATTTAGGTAGTCAGGCTTAGTAGCAAGGGCCTTTACCTACTGAGTCATCTCAGTCATCTGTATGTGTCTACTCTTGAAAGAAGTCCTGCTATGTCTAGCCAGCGTGGTACTATGTATCTTATACCTGTGGTCATACTTCTGCCTCCCCAGTGCTGGGACCCCACAAGCATGCCCTCCCCAGTGCCTAGTACCTTATTTATAGCTTCATGTAAACCAATCATTCTTTTAAATAAAATTGAAAAAGAAAAAGCACATGACACAGTTCCTCAGGGACCTTAGCCACCTGGGTGTCTAGTCCAGGCACAAACAACTTCCCCTCCTCAGACCTCCTTACTGTACCCCCACGGCCGTGTGCAGTTTTGAGCAGCACCGGAGGACCCACAGGGTTGTGAAATCAGATGGTTTGCAGCAGCGTTTTTTAAAGTGGACAAAATAAAGTCGTGAAGACCAGCAGCCAGGGCGCGCTGTCATGTGGGGACGGTGCAGCGGAACATGCGTTCTGACCGATCCCCAGTCCCTACTGATAATGGGCCCAATGTGGCTGGACTTCAGCTCTGCTCTGGGACTCATATCTCTCACTTCCTATTGAGCCTGCCAGTCCTGATTAAGGGCATTTCTGCAACTGTCCCCAGAGCTTCACACAGCAGCTGAGGTGCACAGCTGAGGTGGCTGAGTACCACCTAAGTCTGCACCACATTTGAGACCAGGCCCTAGGTCGGGTGAGCACCAAACCACTGAGCTGTGGCATCTCTGCCTAAGGCTGGACACTCACTGTGGCTGGTGAGGCACGGGTGGTGTGGGAGTAAGACTGGCCGGCGTTGCCTAGCATATAACCGCCTTGGATCACGTAGGTGCCTGCTCCACTGCCGCTGCCGCCACTGCCACTGCCGCCGCCACTGCTGCCGCCTCCCCCGTTGCCCCCTGCACCCACACTGCTGTTGCTGGCTCCAGCCTCACTGCTGGACGAGCTGGCGACAATCGGGCTGCCGGACACATACATGGGCACTGAGCCGCTGCTGGCCACAGTCTGGGAAGTGGCCGGCGTGCTGACCTGCGCAGCGGTGCCTGAAGCCTCATAGTAGCTGGTGCCTGCTGTCTGTGTGTAGATTGGCGTCTCAGGGTACTGGTAGGTGGTAGAGCGGCTGCCAAGAAGCAGACATGAAGCCATGGTTAATATCTTATATAAGGACGCAGGGTTCCAGGAGAGGACCAGAGAAGCCACAGAAACACCAGTGTGGCCACCTTCACATATAAGGGACTGGGGATGGCCTGAGCACTAGATGGGCAACCACTTTCTTCTTTTCTTTCTTTCTTTTTTTTTTTTTTTGGTTTGGTTTTTCGAGACAGGGTTTCTCTGTGTAGCCCTGGCTGTCCTGGAACTCACTCTGTAGACCAGGCTGGCCTCGAACTCTCGAACTCAGAAATCTGCCTGCCTCTGCCTCCCAAGTGCTGGGATTAAAGGCATGCGTCACCACCGCCCGGCTCACTTTCTTATTTTCTAAACAATGTCTTTATATTAACTTATTACTTGGAGAGGGGCACACATGTGCCATGGCACACATGCACAGGTCGGAGACAACTTGTGGGAGTTGGATCTCTCCTTCCACGGTGTGGGTCCTGGAGACTGAACTCAGATTGTAAGCTTGGCAGCAAGCACCTGCTGAGCCATCATGCCAGCCCTCACTGGGCACTGAACTATAGCACTCTCGCACAGGAATCACTTTCCTTACTGCAGAAGAGGAGGAAACAAGGGGTCCAGAACTCAGATGCACAGTTCCCTCGGAAAGAACAAATAGTTCTCAGTCCTGGGAAATCCAGGAGGGAAGGCAAAGTACAAAGACTGTAGGGCAGGCAGAGGAGCAGCCTTGGCTACTTCTTCCTGGCCCTCCTACCAGAACATGTACTAAGTGCCCGCACAGGGTAACAAGCAGCAGATCTAAGAGATGCAGCCATAGCAAGCCATCGCAACATTTGGGCCCAGCTCTGCACGCTGCAGACTACTGAGGGTTAGGGCAGGGAGAGGAGAAACATCATGATTGCCTCACAGTTCTCCCTCCACTAGGCACCGATGGACAGCCAGAAACAAGAGGTTGGGATGAGGAAAAGACCACCCTGTGTGCAGGTAGAAGGCTCTGTAGAGAGGGGACAGATGGGGCTACCTCTCAGTTTTATCTTTGAGCCCTCCCCATGTGTCAGTGCTTAAAGCAGGAAAACCTGAGCCAGGTAGGTGGCTCAGTGGGTGGCGGTGCTTGCCATCAAGCCTGAAGACCTGGGTGGCATCCCCGAAGCCTACACAGCAAAGACTCCAGTGTCGGCATCAGTGCTTACTGCATGGTAGACACACACCTCATCCTTCCATGGCCTTGTGTGAGTTCTGACCTCACGTCATGACCTTGCTTCTCATGTCTGATAAGCAAGCCATTTACTGATTCATCTCCCTAGCCCCCAAGAAAAATTTTAAGACAGAATATGCAAGCCTGAGGAACTGGGTTTGCTCCCTGTGACCTGTGCAAAGGAGAGGGAAAAGCGACTCCTTCAGGTTGTTCTCTGATCTCCACATGTGTTCCATGGCGTATGCACACACACATACATGTGCATGGGCACAATCGCAAACACACACACATGCACATACCTACACACACCCTCCCCACACACATAAATCAGTGTAACAACAAAAAAAAAGTATCCTCCTGCCTCCACCTCCTCAGTGCTGCTTGCTGAAGTAGGACAGTTCATTGCTCAGAGCATTTCTGAATAGAAGCAGAGAAACATGACACGCTAATCACTTTATGGGGCACTGAGGGGCAGACTGATAACTACTTTATCCTGCTTAACTACTACGTAGAAAAATTTAGCTGGGTGCAACCTTTGATCCCAGCACGAGGGAGAAGAGGCAGGCAAATCTCTGAGTTCCAGGCCACCCTGGCCTACAGATGGAGTTCCAGGACAACGGGGGGCTACAGAGAGACAGTCTCAAAAAAGTTTATGTTGTAAAAATGTATGTGTAAATATATTTATGTTTTTTCTTTCCCCCTTTCCCGCCTAATATTCAGATCCATCTAACTGCACAGCTCCTAATTTGTGGAGTGCCTTCCCAAGGGGCTGTGTCTTTTCTGCTATCAGCAGCAGCCTATATTCCTGGCAGCCCCATTACCTGGGCCTTGGAGGCCAGCTGGGAGCCAGAACTACGGCCCTAACCAGATCTGAGCCCTCCCTCCTTCTACCCTCTGCCACTTACATGGCGCTGGCTGTGTAGCTGGCGTCGCCACCTTCCACGTACTGCACCTGGCTGGAGTACACGTGTGGGACAGGCACCTGCGGGAGTTGCTGTACCTGAAGTAGGAGGAAAAGCAGGGTCGTGGGTCAGGGCTGGCTGCCACCTGTGGTCTCCCTGATGCCCTGATACATCCCTAGCTGGAAGGCTGCACATCATAGTTCTCTGAACAACACGGTAGGGCCAGGCCGCAGCTGTGGCTGGAAAACAGGAGATGCAGGGATTCTCTGCTTGGGCAAAGAGGTTCCTCAGGCTTATGAGCAAAGGACGGGATACCAGATAGAATTCTGCAATGGGCTGAGCAAAGGACGGGATACCAGATAGAATTCTGCAATGGGCTTGGGAGGCAGGTTTGCAACTTAAAAACTGGGCCTGGGGGTCTTCTGGAAACCAAAAAGGTTTCCCAGGCAGATTAGAGGTGGAGCCTGAAGAGGGGTCAGTTGATAGAACAGAACCAGAAGTGACTGACAACACCTTAGGGGTGGGTACTGGATAGCCCACCTCCACCCCCAACCCTGGTTTGCAGGACCGGCATCTGGGACCCAGTTCCCGAGAATATGGAAAGACTGGTAGCACTTTGGGGGACGGGGCAGACATCTCACCCCACCCTCCTTGGGCTGCAGGGGCGGAGCCTAGGATCCTGGACTAGGCGGCGGGGCATAGCGGCTCGCTGGGCCGGACGCCCTTCCCCTGCCCACTCCCCGCCCCTCCCTCGCGTGCGTCCGCTGTCCCGCCGCCACCTACTTTGAGGGCGGTGCCGAACACTAGCACCTGGGGCATTCTGTGGATCCTGACCCTCAGGTCGGGGCTGGCTCGGGCCGAGAGCCCCGGTTGTGGCTCGAAGACCACCCTCTGCTGCGGCAGGAGCAGGTGTGGGGGCAGCACGCCCACCAGCTCCACCCACTGCTCCACACCCGGCTCGTAATGGGGCGGCTGCTGCTCGCTGCCTAGCTGCAAGGCCTCGCCACAGCACGCTGGCCCGGGCCCAGGAGGCCGGGGCGGCGGCTCCGGCGGCGGAGTGGGCCGGGTTTCTTGCTGCTCTGCCTTCCTAGCGGGAAACTGACTGCCTGAGCTCTGGAGGACAAACAGAGACACTGGGGGGTCACCCGGTTGTGCGCTCTCGACCACCCGAATGAAGATTTCCCACCTGGGATCTCCTTAGAGAAGAAAGGAACGGACTGGGCACTATCAGAAAGAAGCGGACTTCGAATCCAGTCCTCCTTCAACAAGACCCGTGTCCTGAGTGGTCAGGTGCTGGGATGGGGACGGATTCAGGATGAAGTCTGAAGCCTAGGGCTAGAGTGAAGCCTGACTTCTGCCGGGCTTCAAACCTCAAGAGCTCCCATTGTCTCTGCCCTTTAGGGTCCCCAGGTGGCTCCATTCCTCCCTCTGGATTAGGTGCCTGTACCCCCCAGCCACAGCCCAGGACCAGCCTGAGTGCCCCGACATAGACAAGATACGCACCTCTTGAGCAACGTGAACCGGCTGCAGTCCCTGCACAGTCAGCTGCTGCACCGGGCCAGCTTTAGTCTGCGGAGTGGCCTGGACTACTGACCTCTGGCAAAGGAGAAGGAGAGGCAAGTCCGACTATGGTAACCATGGCAACTAGAGCAGCATGTCCCATGCATGCTCAGAACAGCCCTATTGGGAAAAGGCTGTCATTCCTCAGTGAGCAGTCTTTCCATGTGGGGTCCAGTAACACAGGCCTTCCAGGTTCCTTACTGCCTGCCATCTGGAGGTTCAGAGTGATTCTAGCACGGGAAGGGAAATACCTGTGTGTCCTTTGGATTGGAAGGTTTCTGTTTCCTCTAGGGAAGAGTCTATGGTTCGGGCCTATTTGAGATTTTCAGCCTGGTACTGGGAAATCTGGGGTCTTACTCAAGCTAGGCAAGCTCCCTACCACTAATCTACACCCCAGCACTCTTTTTCAACTTTTATTCTGAATCAGGGTTTCACTACATTGCCCAGGCTGGCCTTGAACTTGAGAACTTCTGGCCTGAGCTTCTTAAGTAGCTGAGGCCATGAGGGCACACAAACCCCATCTGCTTTTCTTGAGAAGCCAAGAATCCCCAAAAGTTAAACAGTTAACAAGGAGATACAAGACCATCCTTTCGTCTTGGCCTGCTCGGGCCTCTGTGCTGGTATTAGGACACTCAGCCTCCTTTGGAAGGCTGAGCACATCCTGAGGATGGCAGGCTTAAGAGACCGGGTCAGTGGTTAAGTAAACTGGTTGGTCCAGAGGACCCAGGTTCAGTTCCTAGCACCAACATAGCTGCTCACAAACTTTTAACTCCATTTTTAGGTACATACATGGTGCAGAGGCCCATGCAAGCAAAACCCCATACTCATTAAAAAATTAAAATAAATGTAAAAATTAAAGGCCTTAGGAATAAGCACTAAGCAAGGACATGGCCTTGGTACTTCCTCTCCCCACTGAACTGGTCCGAAGACGTCAGTGTGTAGTATTGCGTTTTGGTTTTACAGAAAAGAGAGAACCAGGGCCCTGTTATGATGGGTAGATGCTCGCCCTGCAGCCTTCCCAAGGTGAGTTTTCTGTTCTTTTCTTTCTTATTTTCGTGTGTGTGTGTGTGTGTGTGTGTGGGTGTACACTCAGGCTATCAGGATTGGTGGCAAGTGTGCTTTACCTGAGCAAACCCTCTGGCCTACCAACATGGGGTTTCAAAGCCATGAAGTGCCCTGTGAGGTACCTCTATAAGTGCCACAACTAGGGTCACTGAATCTAGAAAGAATCAGAGAGAGGCTCTTGTCAAATGCTCACATGACAGGCTGAAGCTGGACCCCACCTGCTTAGCTCCAACAAGCCAGGGTCCCAGACATGGGTGGCTACATGGCTTATACCCCTAGCCCTAGCTACTGCCCACCCTGGCCAGGCACCTCTTGGGTGACAGGGACACTCTGCTGGACGCTGTGGACCTGCAGTTGCTGCACAGTGCCTGCAGGAGTCCCAGCTGTCTTGCTGGTGGAACTGTTGGCTTGCACTGGTGACCTCTGTAAGAGAACAAACAGGGACATTTCAGGGCCAGCCTCGGCCCCAGACATAAGCAACAGCCCACCTCAGAAGGACTCTGGAGAAAGTGGGATAGCCCACATCAGCCACACACACTGCTCTGTAGGGTTCTACCTAGACCAGGCTGCAGGTATCCCAGCCTCCAGGAGAGCCAGAGGCCACCAGTAGCTTCTATAGTGGGAAGGGCCACAGCAGAGGTGAAAAAGAGTAGGCTGGGAGCCAGTCTGGCCCCACAACCCAGCTACTCCTGCCCCTGTCAGACTTCCCTATGCTATAGTAGTAACAACAGTGACGCTACCTTCACCTCCTGCCACCCCACCGCTTGCTACAGTGGATGCTTCAAGATCCCCATTTCCCAGTGGAAATGGAGGAGAGCGATGCCCAGGGCCACACAGTGGGCATGCTGCATTAGCTTGGATTGCAATTCTGGTGGGAGGGAACAGATAAATGGTGGATTTTACTAGCTCTTTCTGACACAGGGCCTCACTATAAAACACAAGTTAGCACCACACCTGAAACCCTCCTGCTTCAGCCTCTGTATGCAGCTACGTGTCCACACGCCCAGTGCCATTCATTAGCTCTGTTATACACAGGAAACATTGGGCTGCAATGCTGGAGACCTGCCCAAGGATTCAGGACTCTGCCCAGGGAGGATCTCATGTTAGAGACCAGCCTGTTCCTCATAGGAGATTGGTGCTACCCTGAATAGCACTGTAAGACCCTGTCTCAAAAAAAAAAAAAAAAGATGGGGGGGGCAAATATACTGTTGGGGTCCATGGCCAGAACATAGAAAGATGGGAAGATGTCTGTGAGGCACACCTACCTCAGGGGCAGAGTGCACCTGCTGGGTGCTGTGCACAGTCAGGGAGACCTGGCCACCCTTAGTGCCTGGCGCCGGGCTCTGCACCACCAGGTGCTGTGTGGGGAGAGCCTGGGGTCAAAAGAAAAAGGAGCATGGTCACTAGCATCACCAGCTACAGCCAAGTCTGGGGTTTTGTTTTTCCATGCTAGGGATGGAACCTGGCCTTCAAACATGTCCCACCAGTGAGCCACGCTAGTCTTCTGCATTTCAGTGAGCACCTATACACTAGAAACATTCTAGGCTCACCATGCCTGTCAGCCCAGGAACTGCCCCATACCCCAACGCAGCAGTTATGGCTCTACTCCATAGTAGGTGACACACAAGTGCGACGATGAAGGGCTTCTTGAGCCCCGAAGCCAAGAAGTAGCAAAGGCAGAGCTGGCTCCTGGCTCAAAGGGCTAAAATGTGTTCTAGAGCCCACGGTGAGTGCATGCCTGCAAGCCTAAGACCAGGAGTTCAAGGTCATACTTCACTATATGGAGTTCCAGGCCATAGAAGACCTTACTCAAAACATGCCCTTTCAAAGGAGAACATTCTTATCCTTACAGTGTTAGCGCTGGGTTGGGCTGTGGCTTGGGGACAGAACACATGTTTATTATCTCAGTGCTGTGTTCCAGCCCCAGCAGTCTAGCACAGTAAAAACAGGAGGGGAGAAACTAGAAACGGTCAAGGGCGCCAGCATCAGACTGTGGCCTTCTTGGACTGCACTGTAAGATACTGGGTCTGGACGCACAGACTTGCTGCTGTTGATCCTCCCCAGTCCTCAGGACAGTGACTCCTGAGGCTGTTTGGCCATCAGCCCCTAGGGTATTTGATCTGGCCTCTAGAGGCCACTGCCCAAAGCCAGGAGCTGGGGCAGCCTATGGATAAGACCCTTGTCTGGGACCCTAGCAAGAACAGAGACAAGCAGGCAGTGGGGAAGTGGTTCTCTGTCCCACAGGAGGCTGGAGCCAGGAGCCTTACCTGCTGTGGCACCTGGATGTTGGTGAGCTGCAGGGGTGACACATGGCCTGGCTTGGCCTGCACACTTGCCTGGACCAGCAGCCGCTGTGGAGGCAAGAAAGGAGCTGAATAAGGGTTGCTTACGAGGATGGGAGGGTGGAGGTGGCTGCTGCTATATCTTGATAAAACAGGTAAACAGATGTTCATGGTAAGAAGGCAGGGGAGAGCCTCTTTCTCCCAGTGAAGGCCATGTCCTACCTGCTGGGTGCCCTGCACCTGCTGTACCACTTGGGTGGGGACACCAGTCTGGCTTGCCGTGGAACTGGGGCTGGCTTCTGACACAGTCTCACTAGCCCGCATGGCACCTTCTGTGGGAAGAGGTTGACAGGTTAGCTCTGCCTGGTGCCTCTGCCTCTACTCCAAGCGTAAACCCATTGTAAAGCCTGTAGTCCACCCTTATCGAGACCTGGCCTCTCCAAGTCTCTCCTGGCCCGTCCTAGCATCCATCGAAGGTACGTGGCAGGAGGGGAAGAGGACGCAGAGGACGCAGAGGACCCAGGATCGCTGACATAAGGAATTAGCCCCTGATCTTCTTTGTTCTGAAACCTGTCTGAGCAGCCTCTTTCCCACAAAAGCAGAGCTACAGATACTGACAGACAGTAGCCTGGATCCGCACTCCCTTGCTCAAGTCTTGGCAGCTCAGGAAGGACCAAGGTGCTGAGTTTCTCCTGGCTTCTTAGGAAACACTGTGGTCAAAGTGCTCTTGAGCCTTCTTCCCAAACCTGAGTGGAGTGGAGGCGGCAAGAGGTTCAGAGCCCAAAGTGCAGGGACTCATGTTGGCAGACAGCCAAGAAGAGACAGTCCTAGAACACGGCTCCTGCCTGCTCCTAATCCCACTTGCTGTCCAGCCATCGCAGGAGCCGAGCACAATGGAGCAGCAGAGTGTGCAGGAGGCTTTATACCCGACACTTTGGGGACCTAATCCCTATCATGGCTCAGAGCTCCTTCAAGCCCTCTTAGAAAGATGCTATCATCAGAGGCAGGTCTCATTTTATACACATACTGCTAAGTGATTCATGGAACAGCAGGGAAGTGTGGAGGGACAGTGTCCCCAAGACACACGGTCAGGAGACTCTTGCTCAAGCTGGGAACTCACCTGGCCCACCCCTACATGTAACCTAACTAGTTCCTCAGTAGCTCAGGGCCAAGATCAGGAGGGGTAGCCATGTGCCTGTTCTCATTCTCTGTGCTGCCTAAAGGAACCAAGGCCCCAGGCCCATCTTCTTAGGATCTGGCAGGGGGTAAAGGTAGAGGTCCAGAGAAGCTACCTGACCACCTAAAAGGCTACATGAAAACCAGGGTTATCAAAGGGATGGCAGTGGACATCAATGCTGTGTCTGGTGCACCATGGGATGCTCTAGGGCAGTGCACACCGACGCTGTGTCC